TGCTCTCCCTGGCAGGGATGGCGCTGTCCAAGCGGGAGCTGGACGAGCTGAAGCCATGGATCGAGAAGACGGTCAAGCGCGTGTTGGGCTTCTCGGAGCCCACGGTGGTCACTGCAGCACTCAACTGTGTGGGGAAGGGCATGGACAAGAAGAAAGCAGCAGGTACGTCCTGGGGGGGTTGTGAGAGCCCAAACCTGCCCAGGGTGGAGGGGCAGGGACACAGCAATGCTCTCACTGTGTGAAGTGAGGATGAGCAAATCCATCAGGGGAGATGTGAGCTTGGAATGTGTTACAACATCCACTAAGTGAGAACTGATTCCTTTCTCAAGGAATTGGAAATGGTAATTTGATCAGGGTGTTCTTTTTGCCTATCACAGCCTGAATTTGTTTCTCTTTGAGGCCCAGACTCCCTTAATCCCACAGTTCAAAGCTCTTGACAGCAGGATCCACAGATCCCAGATGCTCCCAGAGCCCTCCCTGTGTTTGTAGAGTTGAATCACTCTTACATTTAATGTTTTACAATTCCCGAGGAATCTCTGTGGATTTTCCATCCTCCCGTTCACCCCAAGCTCAGAATTCTGCACTGATGGGTTTTTCATCTTTTCCAGACCACCTCAAGCCCTTCCTGGATGATTCCACACTACGATTTGTGGACAAACTCTTTGAAGCCGTGGAGGAGGGACGGAGCTCCCGGCACTCCAAATCCAACAGCGACCGGACGCGCAAACGGGAGCTGAAGGTGATTATTGATTGTTTTTCCTGGGGTTGGGGGGTCTGCAGGCAGCACTGGGGTTCTGGCACACTCTCCTCTTCCAGAGAGGTACAGCTCGGAACGTTCAAGAGAAACGACTCTTTCTTTTCCCTGATGAAGTGTGGGAGCCTTTACCTTGCGGTTCTCTTTCCAGAGCCAAGGTGCATGCCTGGCTTTGGGTTTGTGTCAGGCTGCTGGAGTGACTCGGTGGGGATCCATCTCCCTTCTCCTCGCTGCTCCTGGTGCTTGTGTTTTCCTCTGGAGCCTGGCAGAGCTGCTCCCAGKGACTGCCATCGCTCTCGGTGCCCCGGTGCTCTGCCTGGGGCTCTGTGCTGGGTGATCTGCTGGCCTTTCACTCCCTTTTCCACCCAGAATCATCAAGAGGTGATTTTTGGCAGCTCCTGTCCTAGCTCAGGACTGATTTCAGCTGGCATTCTGCAGCTCTGGTGTTTCTCCCCTGTCTGGGGTGAGGGAAGGCTGGTGCATCCGGAGCTGTTTTCACTCAGTTTCTTCTTTGAGGACTTCTCTCATCATCATCATCATCTAGAACTGCATTTTCCTGTCACTCTGTCAGGTCTGACAGGCCCTGTGTGTGCTGCTCCCACTCGCAGGATTTTCCTTTCACTCTTGCTGAGGTTCCTATTTGATGGCAGTCTGGGTTTCCCTGACACTCGTAGTCAGCACTGAGCCAGGTGAGCCAGAGCAGTCCCGTGCAGGATCTGCAGCTCTTTGGGAGTTGGGACAAGCTGCCTGGTCTCCCTCTTTTCTGTTAGGAACTTGCTTTTCTTTCATCCATGGCAGTGGTGCCAGGCTGTCCCTGGGCTGTGGAAATGTGAGGCTCGAGCAGAGCTGGGGGTGCTCAGGGACAGGGCACAGATGGGGACATTGGCATTGCCATCACTTGCTGATGGCAGCAGTTGGTGACAGCCTGAGGGGTGGCTGGAGAGCAGCACTGGAGAGGATCTGTGCTGGCAGCACGAGCAGGGCTGGGGGACAGCAGGGGACCCCTCCCCAGTGCAGCCCAGGGGTGTCTGCTCTGAGCACTGCTGGTGCTCCTGCCTGAGCCAGAAGCTGGGCTTAGCCGAAAGTGATTCTTCTTCTCTTGGCTCCTGCTGTGGAGAGGGCTGTCCCTTCTGCCAAATCCTCACTCTTCTCTCTGGAATTGCATTTCTTGGAGCTTYTCCATCACGCTCTGGGCCTGTCTGGACCCTGCAGGAACACAAACTGCTCTCTGAGGTGCTCAGGTTGTGGCAGCACTTGCAGACTGACTGAACTGGCCCCACAGTGCAGGCTGTGGAGAGGAATTG